ATAGATAGATAGAGAAATTTATATCAAGAAAATGGTTTCCATAGTGTAGGAACGGGTAGTCTAGTCTGGTTCTAATTTCATGGATCAGATGTTAAGCTGGAGGCTTTGTGTTATAATGAAGTGTCCATGGGATCAGGTATCAGGCATCTAAGACACAGAATAAAACCATACCCAAGATGGGGGGGCGGGCATGGACTGGGGACCAAACGCCCATCTGTAGACAATTGGAAATCCCCTCACAGAGGGGTCATAGGGAAGAGATGAGGCAGTCAGGATGTGGTATAGCACCGATGAAACACCCAACTTTCCTCTAGTTCTTTGGTGCTTCCTTCCCCCCACTATCATGACCTCAATTCCATCTTACAAATCAGATTAGACCAGAGCATGCACACTGCTACAGATAAGAGCCCACAACACAGGGAATCCAGGATAGATAAACCCCTCAGGGCCAACAAGGAGAGTAGAGAGGAGGATTAGGGAAGGAGGATTAGGGAAGGGTGGGGAGGGGGGTACAGAAAGGTGGAACTGATCACCAGGATCAAACTATAACCCCCTCCCGGGGGGACAAATAATGATAAAGTGGGTGAGGGACGTGGAGGACAATGTAAGATATGGAAAAAATAATCTATAACTTATCAAGTGTTCATGAGGGAGAGTGGGTGGGTGAGGAAGAGGGAAGAAATAGGGAGTGGATTTCAGGGGCTCAAGTGGGAAGAGAATGCTTTGAAAATGATGATGGTGGCATATGTGCAAACGTGCTTGACACATTGGAGGAATGTATGGATTGTGATAAGAGATGTAAGAGCCCCCAATAAAAGTATTTGAAAATAAAAATTGGAGATTTCTCCTGTCTGGCATAACTTCAGGGACTGGTGAACTCAGGATCAGTAGGAACACCACAGGCTGCGGTAATGGAACACCAAGGCTAGCAAGTCAGTTTGGGGACTAGGGAGGCAAATGAATCCAAGGTCCGTGGGACAGGCAGCATGTCACTTTGGGATCAGCAGGCAGTGTGGCAAGCTACTATCTCAAGTCCAACGTCCCAGAGGTCAACAAGCTAGATGTGGGACTCAGACCCAGTAGAAAAAAAGCAAGCAAGTGTCCCCACAGCATCCACTTCGAGAGGAATTAGGCCTCACCCACGAGGAAACTCCCTTTCAATTGCACATGGACTGTCACCTGAGTGAGGGGGCTGCACTCGCCCTCCTCTTCTTCCAATTCATCGGCTGCTTGGAGCAGATCCCATTTTGGAGCTGATCGTATTGTGTTGCGTAACATCATGGAGGATTATTAGACCTTACACGCCAAACCACTGAGAATTCTTGTTTTTAAAATTATTATTTATTTTTATTTAGCAGTCGTATTGGCATATAATTCACAAATCATACAATTCAGTGGTTCAGTCACCTTGAGAAGAATTGCAGTCATGGCCACAGCCCATTTAGAACACTTCCTTCCTTGTGTGCTCCTTGTTCATAGCTCCCCAACCACCGAGAATTCGGACCCAGCTAAATTGACAGCAACCCGAATGAGCACAGTGACTTTGAGTTTTTCCAGAATTTGCATTTTGATTTTGGTAAGTTGTTTCAAGGCGAAGAAACAGACGTTTATAAAGTTTTTGTTTGTTTGTTTGTTTTCTCAAAATGGTTAGAATGATAAGGAAGAACTGGCCCCTCAAGAAGTAAGTTCAGGCATTTGAAAAAAGCACTCATGTGTATGTATCTCTTCCTCTTGCCAAAAAAGTGAAGTGTGCGCATGGACAGTGAAACCCGCCTCCTCATACGTGCAGAGAACAAAGCACAGCGCACCTCCCCTGAGAGGAGATTTGTTGTTGGGAGTGCCGTCCTCCGTCTTAGCCCTTTAGACGTAGTGTCAGACGAGACTCTGCCAGTTTACATTCAGTCTTCAGATGCTTTTAAACCGGTGGGTCCATTAGTCATTCTTCCCTTCCTATTTTTTCCATTGTAATTTGGGACTCACGCTGCCAAACTTCCCAGGCCCATGTTGCCCTAGGCGACTCTGTTTGTTTAGGGTGGAGTGGTTGTTTTTGGCAGGTTGGGGGAGGAGCAATTAATTCTAATAGGTATATAGTAAATTAAATACTTGGGGCTTTCCAGTCTTTTCTTTGAATGTCTGCTCCTTTTTATAAACCCCTTCTAGTCTCAGATGACCCTTTAGGAGCAGAAAAGGAGCTGCTTCCAGAAACCATTTCCAGGCTGTAACTAGAAACCCAGGGGACTCTCGAGAAGGCAACCTCCACCTCGTTTCTCTTTTCAGTTTGCCTTCTCTGGTGTTCTCGAGGTGAGCAGTCACCCTTGATACAAAACTGTGAGAAGAAAAATTCTACATGATCCCTTACTAATCCATTCAAGTGTTTAAGTTGCTCTCAAGACGAAGAATATCTTTCATAGCTCTGCATTAATACTGTGACTGAAGACCCTACTGACATATTGCAACACATGTTAAGTGTCCTTTGGATTTTAATAATTACAGGTGGTAATTATCA